ACGTTGATTTGTCGCTTATTTACAACCAATTGTTTTGATTTTTAAAAATAATGAAAATACATATCTAAATGAATTTGAGATGCCTTGGTATTATGAATGTCATCTTCTTAAAGTAAAGGAATAGCTATTTATTTTATTAATTCAAATTGTTCTAAAATAGAAATATATTATTCATGTAGTGCCTTAGCCAACCCAGGTTTAGGTATATGTCATAAATGTGTCATATAAAATATGCGTCATACATATTTTAAACAAAAATAATTGATTGAGAAATAAAAGGTGGCTTTACAACAGACAGACTATTAAAACTAAATAATAATAATAATAATAATTTGCAAATTTGATTAAAAAAAAATAAAAGCTGGAATACCTTCCTATAATTAGGCCTCTTATCACAAGGAGCATTTTACATTCCTATTTCCTGTATCTCGTTTTAAATATCATAAAATAATAAGTTTAGACGAATCGACAAAAGTTTGAACTACTTGTTATTCAAATGCAACACACGAAATAATTTATAACACAGAATGTTCCTTATTTAGCACGGTGATTTGTCGCTTATTTACAACCAAGGTTCAGCTACGCCTAAACAGTTTTAGTAAAATCGTAGGCTTATGTTTTATAACCTAATCCTTTTTTATCAGGTTATTGGGCTTCGCAAACATAGACTAATAAACCAACCGAACATTAAAATACTATTTACACATACTGTATGAACAAAAAAAAAACAAAAACAAAACCAAACACAAAAAGATTAAAATTGGTGCATGAACATTAGGTTAATATCCAGCAGTAATCCTTCCAAACAAAGCAAATTTCATCATTATATTTCCTCATATTGCAAAGGCCGGAAAAATACTACTGGATGAGTATTGTCCTTCAATAATAAACACATTCAGGAGGTGTCACAAGCTGATATTTTTTTTTTTTTACTCATCATGGACAAAAACCTGATTTATATTTACTCCCACACAATAATACAATACAAGTCATTTATACAACATATCACGTTGTGGTTAGAGTTCTGAGTTCTATTTAGGCTTACAGCATATTTGACTACTGTAATAACAATGAAAGTTGATCAAAATCAACAGAAAAATTACTTGGTTTTTCTGTTTTTATTTCTAAATCTGCTTCTTGATTTTTGAAACGCTTTGTACCATTAACGTCTTTTCTAAAGAATTTTTGATGTCATTTTATTGTATTTTGCTGTCTTTTATCTGTATTTTGCTGTTTAATTGTACTTTTTAGCAATTTTTATACATTTTAAACTGTAAATCACAAGCAATTCAGTCTTGTTACTGTCATTTGTGATCTGAATAAATTGAAATTGAAATTGAATTAAATTGAAAATGAGAGCAATTAGTGATATTACTTCTCATTCATTTGTTCCCGGAACGCCGCCCTCAGCGGCGAGTGTGAAGCACAACTCGGGATCAAAAGTGGAACGTGAAATTTGGATATGGTTTCGTAGTCAGATTTGCGAGATAAACGTCAGCTACCCGTATTTCTAAACTGAGACGTCAGTGGGAGCTGTAATTTGTATGGCAAGGAGATTGAGCAACCCTTCATTCATATTAAGGGAATTTACGCCCATAAACTTTGTAGTTATTAATATTTTGGTTATAATAGAAAATATTCATTTTTTGGTGACGCCACACTCACAATAGTTAGCATGCATACGTCATAAGCTAGATACGTCACCTTTTCCCGGCGTGCTTTTTTCATGGATAAACAAACACCACTGCTTTGCACATGGATGCCTTTCCCAAGCCATGGCTACAAGAGCCGCATTGTTAGCATTGTATACTTAATATATATAAATATACTTAAATAAGGTACATCTGCAAATGAATTATTCTTAGTTATTTTTTTTTTTCTTATTTTAAGTTATTTCTTCCGAAAGTGTAATTTCTATCACATATAATTCCACTGTCTTAGTTAGGCCTAGGCCTAGTCTTATGCCTCATCGTCCCCCGATACACAGTACATCAGCAGCCCCTCCCCCATACAGTACAGACGTTTGCTAGGTAACAACGTGATTGCACCTTCCTTCCCAGGTGTTCATGTAACATTGACATAATTGTTAGCTAACCAGTTGTGTGTATTTCTTTGTGAAAATGAGTACCGCGGCGTACTCATTTTCACAAAGCATTTGCATCCCCTCTTGGAAAGAGGGATTCGAAATAGTTGTCTCCATATCTTTGCTAATTAAATTAATCACCGTAATTTAGCTTACACTTATGAATTTAGGGAGCACTTAAAATGTAAAATAATCATTTCACTACCCGACAAACTCCGAACTTTATTCATTCATTAGGCCTACATAATAGTTTCATATTGCTGTACTATATACTCCAACATCACTGGCGCATGGTAACAACCAACTGACTGCAGACCATTTCCGGTCACATATTACTCTCCATAACACAGCACCCCCCTAGTTCCGTCACCTCTGGATATTTTTGAAGTTACTCATGTATCTGTTTGTAATTGTTTAATTATTACATGATATAATTTGCCATAAGATTTAATTAAATATTTTTCAATTAACACTACTCCACTGGTACTAGAAATTCTTTCAAAACCAAATTAAAAACAAAATTAAAAAAAAAACAACTTTTACTGCAGCAGAATGTATCTTCTGTCACATATTCTTAAACCTGATAAAGGAAATGGTGTTGCAATAATGAAGAAAACTGATTATATCACATCTATGACGAACATGTTCTCTGATTTAACTAAGTTTAAGAAATTATCTAACTGTTCATTAACCATGCAGCTTAATGTTATTAACTTATTACTATAATTAGTGCTATTGCTATTGATAAAGCGTTTATTTTATTTTATATATTGCTTTGATTTTATGATGTTGACATCAATAAGCATGCACTTGCCTTTTTTCAACTTACTTCATTTAAAATTTAATGTGATATTATAATTATAAAAAACCCCAATAAAAAAAACCCCAATTTTAATGGTTGATGAAGAGTTTTTTTCATTATATATTACCATATTTACAGCTTTTCATTAAATAAACGATATATTTTTCTTTCAGAAATCAATGAAATTGGAAGAAATAAACAGAGAAAATGGAAGGTAAAGAAAATGGAAATTGAATTACATGTATATGTATATTTGTATTTAATATGAGAGTATTCAAAGTTATGTATTTAATTTATTTAATAACACGGCATTCATAGTATTAGAGAACGATGAGCCCAGTGAATCCCATGAATAATTTCCAAATCAAGTTCAAAATGTTGTTATGATACCTTGTTTTTATGATTAAAAAAATGCTTCAGTTTGGTCTAAATTTGCTTCATTTTTTGGAACAAATCTTATTAAATAAAAAAAAAACGAAATAAATATACAATGTAAATATAAATTTAAATGTCATAAACATAAGGATGATAAAAAAGAACAAAAAAGGAAACATGAAAAATAAATACCGTATAATATGAATATTATTATTTACCGGACATACCGTAACTGATAGAATTTAAAAAAATTAACGTTTTTGATGTATAATTGATTGATTGTTTAATGACATTTTATGGATTATATCTTCTGTGTATTGGTCAGAGTTCTAAATTTAACTTTAATTAAAATATAAAATATAAAACATAAACAAATACGATTGAAATTATTACAGTTAAATATTGTTGTTAAAGCTATTAACAATGTAATGTAACCATTGATATACTTTTTTCATTTGTTTGATTGTTGGGGTAATGCTGGTTTCATCAGCTTCTGATTCGAAAACATTTCGTTATATTATATTATTGATTAACCTATTAGAAATGAAGGTGGGATGCTCACACACAAGAGAAAAAATATTCATATATCAGAAAAATATGATGTGACGTATTTCATAATTCATAATGGAGTGTACGTATGATTTGACACAAGGTAACATGTATTTCATGATACCATGGTTCGAACGTATGTTCATAAGAAATTCTTTTGGAAGCATGTACACAAGATGATAATGATAATATAAAAAAAAGAAAAAATGGTAGTGTAATTTATTTTTTTCATAGAATTGTCGGATATGAGATTCAATGTTCTAAAAATGGTTTTCTCAAAATGGTATGACGAAAACAGATGTCTTACTATGTTGAAAGTGTTGTTCAGAGAGCATGTTGGAGTTGGGAAATTGGCAAATATAAGAAACACGATGGACTTGTTGAATGATTTAGTTCGATCTAATCGTTTGAGTCCAAGAGACTTGACTATCATTTGTGACACTATTACCGTAACTAAACATTATGCTCTTCAAAGGAAAATCCAAGAGACTTTTCCATCATTCCCGGATATTAGGGAAGGATTAATTTCAACAAAATTCACATCTCACAGACAAAAGCTAATGAAATTTGGGATGGCACTCACGCCAGCAGATGTGAGGCAGATTGACGGATTATATAACACACCTTGTAAGGAATATGAAGACGCGTGGACTATGATTATTGATCTAGAAAAGAATCTAAAAATCAAAGAAGACATGACAGATTTCTATCAATCATTAGAAGCACTTAATCTCCGCCTGGCGTTAAATGCATTAAAAGAAGGTACAGTAATTCTGTTCTAATCTCGTTGCCTTTTTGATTTGATGCATATCCAGTGGTCCATACTTTAATAAATATAACTGTAAATAATACAGCTATGTCTATACATATAACAAATTGATAAATAACAGTGAACATGTTGTAATAATCGTATCAAGCATAGTTCAAAGACGTTTTTTCTTGCTGTCAAGGCACGTATCATACCCAATCCATTAGGCCCACAGAGGTCTATAAGATATCGTGCAGTTGTAACCCATCGTTAACTTTCTCTCATTCAACTGACTGAAACGCTGACACACATTGGAGCTGTGGACATGCTAGAAAAGCTTATAGGTTGCAGCTGGGAAATTATAGTAAATGATATTCTAATCAAGTTGCTGTGTAGCACATTAAACAATATATAAATATATATATATATATGTATATATATAAATATATATATATATATATGTATATAAATATATATATAAATATATATAAATATATATATATATACTACTCCTAACTAACTCATAGGGTGAAAAATCCTTTGTCTATATTTCTCCTTAACGTCGTTAAAATTTCCCCTTAGCGGCAGTATTTTCGTCTTAAGGTATTATTTCTCTCTCAAAAATTATTTAATAATATATATAAATGGTCGTAGAAATATTTGAATATAGTTTTACCAGTACTCAGTATAATAACTGTCTCTTATACACATCTCTCATAGATATTGCAAACACACCATCAGCTTTGGGGACAAACTTTACATCCCCGGCTTTGGTTTATAGGACTAGACCTGTGGGTTCTCCACATATTCAAGAAGCGTACCGAATGACAGGTTAGTTTCAGATATCTCCATATCTAGTCAAACTGAAATTGGTATTATTAGAACATTTCTATATTCATTTAAAATTCAACCTGCTGAATACAAATGTGAGCTACCGTAAGCAAATGATAATAATAATAATAATACTATTCAGTCTTTTACTGAGATGTCTGAGCCATAGAGTGGAGTGATAAATATAATTTAATTCAAAATAGTATATGATAAATATTAATGTTCATTTTATTCAATAATTTCTTTAAAGAACTGTCTTCATTGGAATTCAATCAACTGCTCGGAAACGTGTCCTCGTGGTGGGAACACTATGGAAACGTGAATATGTTAAAAGTAATACTTAGCGAATTTAAAGTTATTCCTGTATCACTGATGGAGGAGCAAAACCAGCCACGTTCTCTCTTTCAGCTTCTTAAAGGCAGTGGGCTTATCAGCCAATCAAACGTCGATGTCATCATCGAAACCGTTGTATTGGGTGGCCAAAGTGGTGTAGAACCAAAGATCAAAGAATCGATACCGACATTTCCCGGATTAAATCAAGTTGAAATCAATAGTTTTTCGAAACATCGACGAAATTTGCTCGAATTTGGCAAGGTAATAGGCACAAGTAACAAAGAACGCATTGGTTACCTGTTTGATCTTCATGTTCCCGAACTAAAGGATCAGTGGTGTTTAATATTTCAATTGGAAAAGAGGCATATTCTTACTGAGGATCTACATGTTAAACAAGCTTTCGTTAACAAAATTATGGACAATGGTATGATAGCTGAAGCCCAAGCACTGAACACATATTAAAATGAAACCTAACGAAACAATGACAATTATTTTATTTAAAAAGAAAAAAAACCAAAAAAACAATAGTACTGCAGAAAAAAAAAAACCAAAAAACAGAAACAAAAACAAACAACAACTAATTTTAAGTTAAAAGAAAATAGTATGCTTAAGAATTAGACTATAACGGGCTGTGATGCATTAAATTTGGGCAGCGGTACTAAACGTTAATGGATATTAGGAACGCATAATTAAGCCGCCTTATTACATAACAGACATGTTCTGCAAAATTCAAACATTCGGAACGTGCCTCTCGTCATGATCAACATCATTGACAGACGCATCATCATCATCATCATCATTACCATACTTTATCATGATGATAATCATAATTATGTATCTCAAATCATTGATCACCATAAAAATTATATTATTATCATCAGCACCATTATCATCATCATCATCACCATCATCATCATCATTATTATTATTTATTATTATCATCATCATCATCATCATTATCAACATTATCTCATCATCACCAACACCATCACCACCATTACCATCATCATCATCGTCACTGTCTTCGTCGTCGTCATTATTATTATCACCATCATCATCATCACCATCATCATCAGACGCATTGTTTGATCAAACATTTCTTCTTTTCATAAGTAATAATTACGACATAATAAGTCGTAATTACGACTTAATATGAAGTAACTACGACATAAAAAATATGTATATTTCAGTAACCTTAATAGGCTTTTGTAGATATAATAAACATGCTACAGAGGTGGGGTATACTCAGTTATTTTAGTTGCTCAATTTATTGCCTATTGGGGCCACTGAAATATATATTTTTATGTCGTAATTACGACACACGTATATCAGTGACCCTAATAGGCTTTCGTAGATATTATCATCCTTTTTCGTTTGACTATAGGGAGTCAAAAACTTTTAACAGTTTCGTGCCATTTTCAGCCGAATTATATTCCTTATTCCTCCTATTTGTTCCCTTATTAGTTCAGGTCATCCTAAGTATATTTGCTATGACCCATCCATCAATCACCAACCACTTACGAAACCCAGTGTTGTACATAGGTTCTGAATAATAATATAGTTTAGTTTCATTTTTTTTTTTTTTTGCAGTTTTATTGAATAGTGTTTGTAAATTCTGGTAAAGTTTGCAGATATGTCACTATAAAGTATGATGTACTATTTTTAATGATGTTTAGATAATTATTATATTAAAAGTAATGCAATATTTTATAATATATATTGAAATATGATAATTATGAAACAGGTTCATATATAATACATTTAGTCTTAGTTTTTCATTCGCTATAATATCTATATAATGCTTAGCATTTTTCTTTATATTCTAGGTGTCGGAATTTTTATATTCTATTTTGTTTTTAAAATATTGAACGATTTTGTGTGATAATAGTGTTATGCTCTCAAAAATTATTTAATAATATATATAAATGGTCGTAGAAATATTTGAATATAGTTTTACCAGTACTCAGTATAATAATTTGTCTATAGAAATTAGTTAGTTTAGGTTAGAAATACTGTAAGAGACGTTCAGATTAAATAAAAGGTGGGAGTGATGTTTGCATCCCATATTTTAATGTATTTCATATCTGATGGCTATTGTATATTGATAATGACACATTCAATTTATTTTATTAATATTATTGTGTATTCTTTTATTTAATCATTATGTATTCGTTACATTTCGAAAACCAACCATTATATAATAAGAATATTAGATTGATTAATATAGCGTAAATAAACGAGTTCTCTATGCGCTCGACAATAGGGCAACAAAAAAAGGGCTAAATAAAGAGCAATGTTAAAAAAAAAAAAAAAAAAAAAAACACCAAGCTAACACCCAAACCGAAGTATATTTGGGTATTTTGGCCGAAATCACAAGAAATATTGTCTTCTAACTTCACCCTTAAATCTATCTTAAAGACATACTGTCTGCTAAAAAGAAGAGGACGAAAAATAATAACAATATTGAATAGCTTATTTAAAAAGATCAAATAATATTTAATATATATTTTTTTTAATGTTATAGGTCTAATTTAACAATTTAAATAGTTCATGTAAAGGAGATCAAATTGCGCAATAATTTTTCATTTGCCTTTGATACTGTGGAGATATGAATATATCGATTATACTCTTTGATATAGAGTAATGATATAATTGTAATACCGCCCTCTATAGGGAAGAAAGAGTTAAGAAATAAAGAGGGAGGAAGAGTCCCGCCATTCATGAAGAAAGTGAGAACGTGTTTGTGTGTCTTCTTGTAGTCAAGTGTCCCGGTTGTGGCTTTATGTCCACAATACCTTAGATCATGATACCACTTTGGCATGCATGTCATTTAATTTTGGTATTGGCAGCACCGCTCTAAAATGGATCGGATCCTATCTTAGTGATTGAAAGCGGTCGGTGGTGATGCAAGGTAGGCCTATCTCATCTGAGCAGAAACATGTTTCTTGTGGTGGACCTTAGGGGTCTATCTTGGGACCTCTGTTGTTTTTGCCATTTACACTTCTTCAGTCTAAGAGGTCATCAAGTCGCATGGATGCAAAGTAATCATGTATGCTGATGATATCCAAGTTGGTTGTGCCTTTAATAAATTGGATAGGTATCTGCTCAAACGAAATTTTAGCATGCATCAAGAGCGTCAAATTATGGGCTGAAAATAATCATTCATCTCTCTCTTTATGAATGAATAAAAAAACAGAAGTCTCCTTTTTTTCCAGAATCAAATCGCTCCATTCAGGTCAATTGAAATCTACTGAAGTCAAGAATTTAGGTGTTATTTTCGACACTAAGATGCTGCAAAACAAGTTCGTAACGACTGTTGGGCAGCGTGTGTTAGCATACACAATATTGGCAGCATTAGAAAAAATTCTTGGATAATGATACAACCTCACAGACTGGTCAGGTGCATTACATCCCACCTTTACTTCTGCAACAATGTTTTAAGTGGTCTTTCAAATGCAGAACTCTAAGATTCAAATGATTCAAAACATTGCAGCTCGCTTAATAACAATAACAAATACTTACACACATTACACCTATGTGAAGCGGATAGAACCTTTTTGCATTATGCGCTATCATGTAAAAAAAAAAAAAAAAAAACCGACCGAGCAACAACTCTTTTTTTTAACACAGCCTAATTGAGGCATCAGTTGAACTTTTCAAGGTGATTACCAGCCCTTCTTCTAATTCATCACTTTGTGACAGCGAGGCTAAGACCTTTGACCTCTAGAGACCATAGAGTATATAAATATTATAATAGTTGCAGATTATTAACAAAATTTGTCTATGTAGAAAATTAATTTTTCTTATATCATCAACATGTCACAAATATATAATTAAGAGAAATGTACAGTAATTTTTCCAAACAAAATTGCTTGTTTTAGCCACGTTTTTGTGGAAAATTAAAAAAAATATTGGATGAGTGAAGCGCAGTTTAAAATATTTATAGCTTCCAACGAGAAACAGATCAAACAAATATTTGTCGCTGATTGACGGACATTTTGTTTAAAAAAGTCTTTAAAAATAATACCAGCCAGTTTGAGAGTATGTTTAAAAGAACACTCCTACAAGAATGTATTACTTACAAGACTGTTAATGGTCCTTACTGGAATGTCAATAAAACTTAACAAATGACCAATCAGAGCAGAACCGGACCAGGAATACGCGCGTGTTTCATAAACACGTTTTGTTTCACAAAAGTAAGTGTTTACGTATTACGCTATTGCATTAATTTCATTTATTTATTTGAACAAGATAAACAAAAACAAGCGAAGAACAATACTAAATTAAACAACAATGGTCATTGGCGGTAACAACAATATCCAAGAGGGGTGAGGGGCTCAACGGAAAGATCCCTCGACAACATTTTACTCACTTTGAGATAGCAATTTGTGAGTCTCACGAATCTTTATTTATAAAACAATGAAGAATGTAACATAAAAACCCAGGTCATGGCTTTATCAAGCGCATGCAGGTTATCACAAAGGAACAACAAATATTACCTACTTCAGGGTCTATCATTCCAGTGTTGGACATAAGCCTACCCCTAAAATCGTCCACCTCTTGCTCCATAATGGTTTCCTAAACCAGTATTTATTGTCATTCTCAGGTCGTCTGTTAACCTCTGTTTCTGTCTTCCTCGTTCTCTTTTACTTTCTCTGGTTATCCATTCGGTTTCTCTATTTGTACATCTAATGTCAGCTATATCACACGCCCTGTCATCTCCACTTCTTTTTGACACTTCTTCCATTATGCCATTCATTCCGGTTCTTCGTCTTATTGTTGCGCATAACAAAGATTAAAACTGTTAAATAATTATTAAACAAAACAAAATATACATTATTGAGACAAAAATATTGAATTACACGTACTGTATTGACAATTTACTTACTCAGGCGAGTGTCTGGAGTTCCTGGCATAAATGTAGGTATAAGTTTAAGTATGTTTTTAAACTTTATTATACAGATTGGATTTACACTGTGTGCCAATGAAAAATATAAAATATCGAAAAATACATTCAGTCAATTACAATTTTTAATACCTCACTCAAAACTATCAAATAAGTTATTAACTTTATAGAAGTTAGTTATTAAGTTCCTAAACATAACGGTGCTGTCCAAGATATTGTATAGCGCATAGAAATACTGGGTATTCTTATCCAGTGTACATAACTTGAAGTGGGATATGAATACACATTATATTATTTCATGAACATCAAAGGTTATTCGCATTATGTATACTTTAACGTGCCTATTAGACCTGTATTAAAGTATGGATCGCCTGTAAGTTGCTGTCACGACATTGACCGAAAATAAGACACAAAACAAAATATATATAAAATAAACTGGGTTTAATTAAATAAAAGTTCGTTCGTCAATCCAATGACAAAGTGTTGTGCTGCTTCCCAGATTCTTTATCACTGTAACAATGCATTCGAAGTACAATTCATGTACTTAGTCTTGCTAACTGCTAGGGCTTTTCCCCTCAGTCAATATCACTTTAGTATATCTGGTACA